GCAGAAAAGGAAACCTTTTTAATACAGGGGCTCCCTTCTTCCTGCTCTTAAAAAAAAGTGGTTTATTTTAAGGCAATTTGTTTTTTTATTTAAAGGAGCTATTTTGTGCTGACTTCAATCATAAGAATGAGAGATTTGATGCTGTAAAATAGAAATCTCATAATAGAAATGAGTAGAAAATTTGATGCCCTGCAGAAGGAGAGATGGAAACGCACTCAGCCATGCTGGGCTTGATTACACAAGGCTAGGTAGCTCCTGCTGGGCGGTGTAGCTACTGCCCAGCGGTGCACACTTTCCTGGCAGCTGTTCCTTCACATCCTGAGGTCTGTGAAATCCCTCACCCATCAATAACTGATCAGTAATTGATCTTTAGTGTTTATTAGCCTGGACTCCACGGGTCGTTAGGGGTTTGACAACTGGAGTTTTATGGGATCTGTGAGCCACCTGAAATTATATGTAAACTATTGTTTATGCTTGGCTACACTTGAATGCTCAGAGAAATTTATAACTTCCCAGAAGACGAATAATCTCTCCTAGAACGTAGAGAGAACCAGACGCAACTGACACAGCTGTCTCACCTGGTGTTCAGTCTGATTCTTCAGCAGTAGGGCTACAGCTAGCTGAACAAATTCACCATGAATGTCTTAGAGTGTTTCTGTGAGAATCCCAAAACCATCAAAACCAGAAATGCCACCTATGAGGCTTGTTTAGAATAGGTATCACCGTGAATAAGTGCCTTCAAAGATAAAAGGTCTCTTAATACCAGGAAAGAACACCACCAGATCCATTTCAGCCCTGAAAAATAGTTGTGGCTTCTCTAAATCAAACTTTTCTACCTCTATTAGGATTATGTAGTCAGATCTGGAAGTCTAGGGGTAAAGCGTAGCCCTCCTGAAATGCCAGCGTAGTCTACTTTTATCTGTGAACAGACATGAAGCTTTTGAAATTGACAAGTGAGCTGCAGGATGTGCGTATTTATGCACAATGTTGAAGGTCTCCCGGATAGTCTGTTGCAACAGAGAAAAATATAATCCAGAGCGTAGAATTTTTTCAAATGTCAGATCAAGTGGGAGAATTCACAAGGAAGGCAGCGAGGGAGCGAGAGTCCTTCTGGTAAAATATAGATGAATCTACAGGCGGTCAATGTGCCAATCAAAGAAATTGTCTTTGGGGGAAAAACAATAGAAGCCTGTTGAATAAACAAGCATCTCGTTGCAGGAAAACAGCAAGCAGGGGTCAAAGTGGCATGGTTGTGCTATGAGGTTATTAACAGCTGGAGTTACAAAAACAGGCTCAAAAGAGAGGAAGAGTAGTTGGGAGGGAAAAAAATAATCCTAGCAGATCTTCAATATAAAAAGACTATGTGGACTGTAATTAACAATGATTAAAAGCATGTATTGGAGCAGATAACAGAGCAGACTTTGCCACCACCAAGACGTGGCAACCGTTTGAAGTGGTGTGCATATCAGTCCCCTCGTTTGATTGCTGCACATTGCATGTGTACGTCAAAATATATCCCGTACCCCACACCCTCATAGGCTTCTTACATATGACACAGCAACAGTAGAGAGGAAGTTAAGGAGGGAAGCTCGTTTCGGTGTGAATATGCTGATAAGTCATCCTCGGTGTATTGCTTTTCTCTGAGTATATGCCCGTATTTGAAGATATCATATATGTAAACAGATTTCACACTGCCTTCTTTGTGTATAAGTCTTGAGTCTGTGTCTCTACAGGACTCTGTTTCCTCGTGTCTACACATTTCCCAAATCAGTACACGCAGCCCATAGGGATCATTTTCAAAATTATCCCCTTCTCTTGCAGAAGTCCCAAGGTCTGCCTATGATGGCGCTATTATCTCCTTCAGTAGGAAGCATTTGCCTTAGCCACCGTTTGTGCATTTAAAATGTCTCTACCTTCTATCACTTCTTTTTTGTTTCTTCATTCATTCCTTTCATAAACAAAACCAGCAAGCATCCAGCTGATCTGGAGTTAGTCATGGCTCTAGAAATGGTCACATTATCAAGCAACTGCAGCTGAGCAGAGGACACAGGGTAGCTACCATACCGGTCTAAGGAGACTGGGAGATGTCTGAAATCTAGAGGATATATGGTGCGGTAGCTGGAATATAATTGGCCCACATAATCTCATAGGGAGTGGCAATATTAGGAGGTGTGGTTTTGGTGGAGTGGGTGTGGCCTTGTTGGAAGAAGTGTGTCACTGTGCAGGTGATTTGAGTTTTCCTATGCTCAGCATAATGCCTGGTGTCTCGGTCTATGTCCTGTCACTGACAAGATGTAGGACTCTCAGATACTGTCCTCCTGCATGCTACCGTGCTCCCACCATGATGATAATGGACTGAACCTCTGAAACTGTAAGCAAACTACCCCAATTAAACGTGTTTTTTTTTTTTAAATAAAAGTTGCCATGGTCATGATGTTTTTTCATAGCAATAGAAACCCAACTAAGACAGTAATTGGTACCAGGGACTGCAGTATTATTGTAATAGGCCTGACCATGCGTTTGTTTGGAAGACTTTGGGCTTTCATGCTTTGTGTTTAAAAAGCGGTGGAATGCTTTAAGCACTGCTTAATGGGCCATACTAGTAGGAACCTGGAAGACAGTGATGCTAAGAGTTATTTGAACTATGGGGGATCACTTAAGAGGTTTAAGAAGAGAAGAATTTTAGTATGTTGCCTAGAGATTGTTCTTGTGATATTTTGGTGAAGAAAGTGGCTGGTTTTTGCCCTTGTCTGAAGAGTCTGGCTGAGGCTAACATGAAGAGTTTCGGATTAGTTCCACGAAGAAATCTCAAAACAACCTAGTATAATCTCTGTCGTGTGCTTGTAAAGATTTATAATGAAAAGGAGCAAGCTGAGTAGGGTAAATTACAAAATATAAATTTTGAGGAGAAAAGGAGCACCAGGAAGTGGAGTGGAGTGGAGTCCTGTGTTCTAGGAGATAAGCGGATTAAGAAATGTTTTAAAGGGAGTGGTGACCTCAGGTCAAGATCCCACCCAGCTAAATTTCCAATTTGTGGGAAGAAACTGAAGAAAAGTTTAGAGCTGGGTGTGGTGGCGCATGCCGGTAGGGTTTGCTGAAGGAGGCAGAGGCGGGAGGATCTCTGAGTCTGAGGCCAGCTTGGTCTACAGAGCAAGTTTCAGGACAGCTAAGTTTAGGCAACAAAGGGCAGAAAGCTGGTGAAGATGTAATAAACAAGGGGTCCATGTTCAGTAAGCCACAGGCTTGGCAGCTTCAGCCACAGGGTTCTGGAGTTAAGGATAGAAGAAATGGATTGTGGTATTTGCTCCCGAGATTAAGGAAAGCTGCTGAGGCCAGGCACGTGTCAGGGGCAGTGACACCATTGCATGAAGCTGTGAAGTTGAAGCCTCGATTGCCTTGAAGAACTCATTATGTTAGAGAGGCCAGAGTCCTGGGGTACCTGCTAACAGGGAATGGGACCAGCCCAGGAGAAAGAAGTGTGTTGCAGTCACCAAAGCTGAACAGAGGTGAAGATCTGAAGAGCTTTTTGATATCACACAGAAAGATGCAGACTTTGGAGTTTGCCCAGCTGGGTTTTGGTCTAGCTTTGACTCAGTATTTCCTCACTATACTCCCTTCCATATATGTTAGAATGGTAATGTATATCCTATGCCATTCTATGTTGGAAGTATGTAATCTTGCTCTGCTTTTTCATTTGGTTTCACTGGAGAGTATAGTTAGGAGGTTACATGAATCTCAGAAGAAACTTTGAACTTTGGACTTTTAAACCTTATTGAGACTGTTATCGACTATGGGTGCTTTTGAAGTTGGACTAAATGCATTTTACTTATAGTTATAATGGTAACATATTGTTATAGTCTTATGGGGGCCAGGGAGTGAAATCTAGTAATTTGAATATAAATGGCCCTCTATAATCTCATAGGGAGTGGCACTATTAAAAGGTGTGGCTTTGTTAGAGTGGGCATGGCCTTGTTAGAGGAAGCGTGACGCTCACTGTTGGGGCAGGCCTTGAGGTTTCCTATGCTCAGGATACCACCCTGTGTCCCAGTTGACTTCCCATTGCTCACAAGATGTAGGACTGTTAGCTACTGTCTGTCTGCACTCCATCAAGCTCCCACCGTGATGATAATGGACTGAACCTCTGAAGCTGTAAATGCGCCACCCCAATTAAATGTTTCCTCTTAAGAATTTCTGTGGTCGTGGTATCTCTTCACAGCAATAAAAACCCTAACTGAGACAGATGGTGTCTTAGTTTCTTCTCATATATGTATGTGTATATATATTACATCCCAGTCCAGTTACCCCTCCTTTCTTTCCTCCCAGACCCTCCCCTAACTTACCCCCTGTGTTCCCAACCCCTCCCCAATTCAGTCCTCCTCCATTTCTGTTTTGGAAAGGGCAGGTCTCCTGTGAATATCAACAAAACATGACATATCAAGTTTCAGAAAGACGAAGCACCATGTATTAAGGCTGGGCAAAGCGACCCAGTATGAGGAGTAGGGTCCCAAAAGCCAGTAAAAGAGTCAGAGACAGCCCCTGTTTCCACTGTTAGGAGTCCTACAAGAAGACCAAGTTACATAACTGTCACATATACTCAGAGTGCCTAGGTCAGTCCCCTGCAGGCTCCCTGGTTGTCGGTTCAGTTTCGGTGGACCCAGGTTAGTTGACTCTGAGAGTTTTCTTGTGGTGTCCTTAATCTGTCTGTCTCCTACAATCCTTTCTCCCCCTCTTCTGCAGGAGTCTCCAAGCTCCGCCTAATGTTTGGCTGTGGGTCTGCCTCTGCTTCCATCCGTTGCTGGGTGAAGCCTTTCTGAAGACAATCTATGAGTATAGCAGAATATCATTAGGTGTCATTACATTGAAACTTTTCCTCCAGTCATGTTTGGTTCTATCATAGGGCCCTGGGTCATCCAGCCTGTGGGTCCTGGTGCTCCAGAGAGCATCAGGGGTGGACTTACTCCTATTGTCAATTATTAAAGAACATACTCTGACAAAAGTGACTTTAATGGAGACAGTTTTAATTTTTTATCTCACAGTTCCAGGTTAGTTTAACACGGTGGGGAGGTCAAGACATCAGAAGCTCAAAGCAGCTGGCCATATTGCATCTGCAGGAGAAGAGATAAATGAATGCATGAACGCTAATGTTCAGCTCAATTCCTCCAGTCTTATATAGCCCAAAGTCCCTTGTCTAGGGATTGGTGCCACCCACAGTGGGCTGGTTCTCCCACTTCAAACTGTAATCAAAATAATCTCCCCCACAGACATATTCGGAGGCCCATTTCCCAGGTGATTCTAAATTCTGTCAAGGTTGACAATTAACACTCATCATAATAAGTGTCATGAGTGAGAACCAAGCTTGCAAGCGGGCAAGAGGGCAAGGAGGCAGGTAACAGACAGTATTCTGAGAGATGGCCTCCAAAAGGAAGGAAGGGCGTAAAGGAGATTTGCTCCCGAACAGATGCAGAGAATGAAGTTGAGTGGGCTTGAACGAGCTCAGGAAACTGAGTTCCAGAATCCTTGCCAGAGACCTTGGGGGCCCATTCATGAGAGTCTGGGCAGGGGCTAAAAGGGTGAAAGTATACTTGTGAGATGTAACAGGCAAAAGCAACAGAAGCTAGTTTATGATCAGAAGCTCAGTAGTCCACCAGAGAGGGAGCCAGGAGTGAATAGGCAGCTTCAGAATCTGCTGACATGGGGCTTGAAGGAGAGGCGGCTTTGGCTAAGTAAATAGTGAATTCATCTGTGGGATGTTTGCATTTGATAACTTGATGGTGGTGCAGGTATAGATGACAAGGCTCAAGACAGACTTGAGGGTGGACGGCTGCAGTGGAAGTTAAGGTCACTGAAAATGAAAAGATCAAGGGTCTGAAGCCAAGGGTTATTAATTAGTCATCTTGGGTAGCAGCCTCATCCAGGGTGCTGTCAGGAAGACTGTGAGCCAACCACCAAAGTCATCACTGACGAAGAAGTGACTCAGAAGACAGCGGTAGGAAGCAGCAGGAGAGGGCTTTATCAGCTGAAGGGGAAAGAGCCATTACCTCAAGGTAGCAGAGAGGACAAGCCATTCCCAACTGTCACAGCTCTGAGAGATTTGCTTCAAAACAATCCTTAGGAAGGAAGCAGTGGAACCCATGAGGGGCGGCGGGGGTGAGGGGAGAGGGTGAAATCCTGGATTCTCCAGAAAATCTAGTTAGAGGAATTCTCTTTCCAGGGCATGCTGATCTAAGAGGTCTGCTCATTCTCAGAAGCATCTCACAAGGCAGCATCTCACAGCTTGTCCCCACACCTTTCTGCTGCGGCCATGGGGACCGGTTCCACCCTATGCTTTCTCATTGACCCACCGCTCTTTTTGACTCCACAAGCCTCCCGCATCCCCAATGACCGTCCCTGTCTCAGCTCTTCCAATAATGTTTTAATGTCTACTAGTCAATGGTTCTTCCCACTGACCATATATTTCCCACAGCATCTGCCTGTTCTCCATCAAGGCCTGTCTATTATGCAGATGTATAGCAACCACTTGAAGAGTCAAAGGTCCAGTTTATACTCCTCAGTTTCTAGCCCATCCCTTCCCTGTATAGTTAGGTGCAACGTGAGTATTTAGGAAGCTGGTTAGCTATTTTCCACTTGGCAGGGGCAACATTCAGGCTTGTGTATCCTTATTACTGAGTGGGAATGGCAGACGGGGCATGGCGTTCAAACTCTGAAAAGCAAAACCATGAGACAGAAGATGCTGAAATTTCCTCTGGAGTCTTACAGAAATTGTTTTGCGTTTGCTTCAGTGGCCTAAGAACTGAAATTGTGAGTGGCAACCTAAGCTAAGTGTTCATCCAGAAATGACAATTGAAACCTTGACTGAGAGTGGCTGCTTAAGACAGGAAAGGGGGCAAAGAACAGCTCTTGAGATAATTTTACAGCAAAGCGATAAAAACAAGTGAAGATAAGTGAGATCAAACATCAAGTCTGTAAACTTGCTGGACCCAAACCCCAATGGTCACTGGTAGACAATGCTTCTATGACTCCCTGCCCATCAATAGATAACAGCAGAAATGTTTAGTCAGTGTTCTGGAAGTCCAAGGGGATGGATGAGAGCTGTGCAGAGGCTCAAGAGCCTCCTTAGGAAGGCTGTACTTCTTCAGCATCATCTGCCTCTCTGTCTCCTCCCTGTGATTCCCTAGTCTTCATATTGACCTATATCTATTTTCCTGATTTTATGATGATTATCTTTTGTGTTTGTTTTGTTTTCTCTGAGACAGGGTTTCTCTGTGTAACAGCTCTGGCTGTCCTGAAACTCTCTTTGTAGACCAGGCTGGACTCAGATTCACAGAGATCCACCTGCCTCTGCCTCCTGAATGCTGGGATTAAAGGTGTGCACTACCACTGCCTGGCTATGATGGTTATTTTAATACACTCTTAACATAGACTTTGGCCAGGACAGTTGAAGTTAAGAATTATCCTAAATTATTTTTTCCCTTGGAGCAATTGTAGTGGTTTTTAAAATATGTTAGATAGTTGGGCATGTTCAGTCAGAATCTTTCCGATTCTTTGGATAGTCACAAAGACAGTGAGGCCTGTGTTTTGAGTAATGGAACGTGGGGGTCTGAAGTCCCTAGCTGCAGTCAGTTGCGGCCTTTGTAACTGCAAGAGGCTCTTGTCAGGTGTCTGTCTGTAACCCTTTCCCTTCAGGGCCCCTTGCTCATCACTACCTCCCTATAGTAGGGGATCTGATTTGTGCCATTTGATCCAGCTCACAAGATCGTGGACACAGACGTATTCCTGGAGGAGAGTGCTAGGCATGTCTGCTCTCAGGCAAAGGGAATAGAAACACTAATTCTGGAGTTATCGAGATTCCATCGCAACTCAGCGCTTCTGTAAGAAGAAATGTGGGTCAAAGGAAAGCTTGGAGCTTGGAATCAGCCAACCGAGCTGGCGTTCTGGCTGCATTCCACCGCTCTATGCTATTTTAGACATTTTACTGGGCTGCTCTAATGTACCATCAGCATCTGGAACGTGCATCCACTTGCAATGGGAATTAAATGAGATAAGCTGGAAGGAACATGCAATCAGTGCTGGTTATTAAAATGCCATCGAACTGGGCGGTGGTGGCGCACGCCTTTAATCCCAGCACTCTGGGAGGCAGAGGCAGGAGGATCTCTGTGAGTTCAAGGCCAGCCTGGTCTAGTTCCAGCTAGCTCCAGGACAGGAACCAAGAGCTACGGAGAAACCCTGTCTCAAAAATCCAAAAAAAAAAAATGCCATCGAAGCAGGGCAGTGGTAGTGTACGCCGATAATCCCAGCACTCAGGGCAGGGTGGGGCAGAGGCAGGTGGATCTCTGTGAGTTCGAGGCCAGCCTGGTCTACAAGAGCTAGTTCTAGGACAGGCTCCAAAGCTACAGAGAAACCCTGTCTCGAAAAATCAAAAAAAAAAAAAATGCCATCAAGAACACAAGGTTGCTGGTTAGTTTTACGCTGACTTAACACAAGCCAGAGTCATTTGGAAGGAGGCATCTCAGTTGAGAAAGTGCCCCAACAGATTGACCCATGGGATATTTTCTTGACTGATGATTGATATAGGAGAGCCCAGCTCATTTAGGGTAGTATAAGAAAACAGGCCGAGCAAGCCATGAGGAGCAATGCACTAAGCAACACCCCTCCATTGTCTCGATAGCAGTTCCTGCCTCCAGGTCCTTGCTCTGAGTTCCCTGCTCTGGCTTCCTTCAGTGATGGACTTACACAAGCTGGAAGGTGAAATGAACCTTTTCCTTCCCAAGTTGCTCTGGTCACAGTGTTTTATTACAGCACCCCGAAACCTAACTAGCCACAAGGTTACAGTGATGCCCCAAACTCCTTTTGTTTCTTTGGATGTGGAGCTAGACTTCCCCAGTTCAAAGTCTGCCTCTCTCACTTATCAGTGTGACCTAGGATGAGCCTCTTAATCCCTCTGTGCCTTAGCTTTACCATATGTAAAAGAAGCTGATAGTTTCTATAGTTAGTGGGTTGTAGTGGCCGGATGAGCTCACCCATGTACAGCAGCCAGTGCCTGGGCCAAGTTCAAGGGCTTGAGAGTATGAGTGGATGTTGCTATTAAATGACATGTGGCACAGGACATTTAAGAATTCTAGTCTTCGAGGTTCTTTCCTGTTGTATAAATCAGATTGGGCTTAGAGTAAAAATGTCTGCTCACACGTATGCCTTCTCCACCAGACTGGGAACCCCTAAAGAGCAGGGTAATTGTTTTCCTCGTCTTTGCCTGGCATAGCTTTTCATTATGCCTCCCACTTACCAGGCTCCAGACATTGTCCTGGGAATGTTACAGGAATTTAGACTCACTGGTCAATGCAGGGGAGGAGGGGAGCCAGGTTAAAGGTGAGAGAAGAGCCTTGGGCATCACACTACAAAATAAACAATGCAGACTGTCTCCATTGCTGTCCAGGAAGAGTAGGGGGCCTTAGTTCACCTTCACAGAGAACTGCATTCTCTGTTGTCCTTACTGTGTGGTCTTGTGCACGTGCTGGTGTGATTTATTTTGCCGTACATGAAAAATGGTGAGAACGGAATTTAGAGCAGTTTTCCAAACATGTATCTGTAGGCTGTTAACTATGAGGTATAGTTCTTCATATTTGTAAGCCACCTCATACTACGTTATCTTTTTTAATGAAGAATAACATCTTGCTCCTCTTTTAACCCCTTCAGCCCCTAATACCTACCACGTCCCACAGAAAGCCATTCATCATTTATAAGGGGCTTTGGTTGTCTCGTTTGCCTTTTCCTACTTCTGTCCCACTACAGTGTGTCTAGCTGCGTCTCCCATTCACCGCCAACCTCGTCAGCTTCATAGAACTTCCCCAGGTGCCTTCCTCCCCCACGTTGTTCTTCCACACTTCCACCCCTCCATTTGTCTTACACAGGAAAAAAGAAAGAGTTCCACTAAGGAAATGGGATTCTAGGACTCTGAGTGCCTGGAGCTCTTCGGGGCTTCCAGTCCAGTCTGTTGAAGTCCAGCAGTTCTGTCTGCTTCACCTCATTGGTTAGTCTCTGATTCTCCAAGAACACGCAGCAATTCCAGAAAATAGTCCACAGTCCGCTCAGTTAAAGCCATGATCCTGGACACCACCCTCCTCTCAGAGACTGAACGCTGGGCAGAGATGAAAAAGTACTTTGAGATGCGAGGTGTTGGTTCCTCTGAGAGAAATGCTAAGTGCTCTAATCTGATGGCCTCGGTGACAGGTTTGCTTCCTTAGAACCTTGGCCAGATAGAGTGTGAGCACAAAATAAAAAGATAGCAGGATGTTAAGCGCCACTGAAGAATGAGCAGCTGACTGAAAAGGTACGGTAACCACGCTCTTGCAGGATTTCTGTCCTCAGGACCAAGAAGGCTGATGACAGCAACAGCACTGAAATGCCTCTTACTGCGGGGTATAAATAATAATAATAATGATAATGAGGAGGAGGAAGAGGAGGAGAATGAGGATGAACCCGCAGCTGTTTTTAGGAAATAGGATAGGAAAGTGTATTAAAAGAGGGGACGCTGAAACCTGTGCGATGCAAACGCCATCTTAGAAAAGACCAAGATGATACCATCCTTTTCGTGATCCTCTAATTAAAACCGATGCAGCGATTAATGTCAGCACGGTGGACAGCGGCACAGCAATGAGGGCCTGTGTTGAGCAATTCGTGTTGAGCAATTCACAGGAAAGCATCTCACTTAATTATCGTGTCACCCTATCACAGATGAGAAGCCAGAGACTTAAAATAACCCGTCCTGCAGCTAGTGCTATCTAGCTGTAAGTGGCAGAGACAAGATTCACGCCTAGATCAGTCTCTGCACAAAATCTCTGCTCTTCACGTCTCCCTCCGCTACAATATTCTTGGTTCATGAAATAGGTTGTCTCTACGCATTTCTTTTGCTGCCTTCAGGATGTCTAAGTTGGGATTAGAAAGGCCTGTAGACAGGCAGGAAGAAAGCGTATCGGGATGATTTCCGACTTCATTAGCGGAAGGCGTGAGCCTAATGCTCACTGTATCCATTCACCAACTACATGAACTTAGGCAGAGGCCTTGACACCCTGCATCTCAATTGCCGCAGCCCACCAATGAGTGTGAATCTAACTCCAAATGGCTGTGCAACGTTGTGATAATCAAATGAGCTATATTAGAATTCTCTAAACCAAAGAGTTCGTTGTCTATACAAAGGATTATTTGTGTTCTCTACCCTTTGAAAATTAGAGACTGGTGGTAGGCAACTGGGAACAAAAAAATACGGCCCACTGCCTACACGCTCTTGATGTATTCAAGTTTGAATGCAAACTCATGAAAAGTTTCTTCTATTAAAAGTTTCCTCTGTGAAAAGAGGACTCATTCCACTCTCCTTTCACTCCAGAACTCAAGGCAATTGCAGCTGACACTCAACAGACCCACCCCCTCCTTGGGAGAAGGAGAAGACGCCAAAAAGCTAGCCCCGCCATTCCCCATTCAGTAATAAATAAAATAAATTCCTTGATATCTATTCTGCTTATCCTACAAGAACATTGGAAAACTCTTCTGGGAAAGCATTTTAGAAAACTGCCAACAGTTATGCAGACAGCGTCAGTCTGAACCCGAGGGCTCCATGCTGGAGGCATGCATCCTCAGAAAACATCACTCTGGGTATTCAGCCACAATCTAAAGAAAATGCTGGGAAGAGAGGCTGGATCGGGTTCCAAGGTTGGAACAATTAAAGCTAACTATAACTGCACTGAGCTCGTGAAGGTTTTAGGAGTGGAATAAGCCACTTTCCTTCTGACCACGAGCTTCCATTTTGAATATAACTAGGTCCTCTCCGCTTCCTGTCCCATTCCATTCTGCCTTCCCACCTGCTTGCCCCTGTCCCCAGAACAAAGTACTAGACTATGAAAGCAGATGCTAGCTCAAGGGGCTCAGTACAGACAAGACAGAGAGGAACGCAACCATGAGCCTTCCCTCCCCTGCTGGAATTCCTGGGAAGCTTGTGGACTTAGACTGCCCGTTCTCAACTCCTTCTGTGCCCACAATTCCTTGCCTCCCTTTCATTTCACTTCCCCTTTGTTTCAATTTCCTGATCTTATGTGGAATCCTCCACGGTGAGTAACCACAGTCTGCCAACAGGAGTGTGGCCTAGCCAGAACCCCTCAGGCTCACGGGACCATGAGGGTGAGAACGAGGGAAGAAGTAGGTGCTGCGTACAAAGGCCAGCTGTAGACCCAAAGTGAGGGGTCTGAAGGGTTAGACTCATGGATGAAGTCATTGGAGATTTCTGGAGAAGAGATCTCAGCCTGCAGGTAGAGCTTGCATAATAAATGTTCTGCAGCCCCTTTGTTATTGTTGTTATAGTAAGATTTTATTAAGGAAAAAAGATACCGAAAAGCTCAAACAACAACAACAAAAGAATCTTTTAAAATTTACTATCAGCTAAGCCAGACCTGGGGGCACATGTCTGCAACCCCACTACTTGGAGGCTGGGGTGGGAAGATGGAGAGACTGAGGCCTGCCTGGACTCCAAGGAGAGTTTAAAGCTGGTTGGGAAACTTTGCAAGACTATCTCAAACTAAAAGGTATAAAATAGTGGCCAGGAATATGATAGAGCAGTTGCCTAGTCTGTGTTAGGCCCTAGGTTCAATTTCAAATAATGCTCCAAAGTGCAATCTGCAAAGCTGAAAGAATATTCTTTTTGGTGCTATCTTTTTACCCAATACTGTATTTCCCAGAAACTTCAGCTACATGTATTCACCACCTAAAAACAAAAATGAAATAATTCATTATTTTAGAAGAACTCATCATGAGAACTTACTTGGACTGCACATACTTACTTGATGAATTAGTTTGGGATAAGACTATATATACACAGATCTTGGAATCAAAGCACTGAGACCAAATCCTAATTCTATCACTTCCTAGTTGTATGATGCTGGGCAAAAGTTCTCAGTGTTTCCTGCTTCCTCTTCTGCAAAGTGGGAACACTGATCATGCCTCACAATGTGTAGGAGAGGACTGTGTGAGTTATGTGTGTACTGCACAAAGTCTAGACAAGAGGGAGCTGCTGATCATAGAGGAGAGAAATGTCATAAAGCTTGAAGAAGTGAAGGGACCTAAAAATTTTAGTTCAGCCTTGCTCATTCCTTTGTCAAATGAGTCTTCTAATCCTTCAATGAATGAGAAGCCAAGTATCCATTTCCCTGGATGGCTTTCTAGACTTTGAACTTGTCCAATACATATTTTCAATACAAACCTCATGTGCAACTTTTTTTGAGAAATTTTCATCTGCTAAACGTCCCTTTGATGCTCGTGAGCAAGTCCCTCCGACTCCATGCTCTCCACCCAGAGACTCCTCTCAAGGATATCTGCTCTGTTAAGCTCAGCAATGGCCTAAGGTCGGGCAATGGTTGTGATCTTCTGTAGATGTTGTTGACCCCATAGATTAGAGCCCCAAGGTTTAACAACAGACAGAGGCGCAGAGGGTGATAAGAAGACCACTGAACAGTCCAGCTTGACTTTTATCCTTTTTGTTTTTTCAAGACAGGGTTTCTCTGTGTGGCCTTGGCTGTCTTAAAATTCACTTTGTAGACCAGTCTTACCTCCAACTCAGAGGTCTGCCTGCCTCTGTCTCCTGAGTGTTGGGATTAAAGGCATCCACCTCCTCTCCCAACTGCCTGAGTACTTTTTTTTTTTTTTTTTTTTTTTTTGGTTTTTCGAGACAGGGTTTCTCTGTGGCTTTGGAGCCTGTCCTGGAACTAGCTCTGTAGACCAGGCTGGTCTCGAACTCACAGAGATCCGCCTGCCTCTGCCTCCCAAGTGCTGGGATTAAAGGCGTGAGCCACCATCGCCCAGCCGCCTGAGTACTTCTTGATGTTTGATCTCAGACAAATGAGAAATCAGATAGGCTAGGAAAAGAGATGTGTGATGTGATGTTCAATCTTCCCCCAGACAAATTCTTCTGCTTTCTCATCCAAATACTAGCACCCCAGATCTGCTGGATCAGCATCTTGGACTGGGACATAGCAGCCAGCACATTTACTGTACCCCAGGGTTTTTAAGATAGATGCAGCAGAGACCACATTTTGCAAGGTCCCACCCAGAATCCTAGAAGTCGAACTGTTCAAGATGAACTCTTCATGTTGGCAATGGCAGCTCTAACTTTAGCTGTTTTGGGGTTACATTTCACTGTACCCTTTCTTCACTTGCATTATATTCAGCTTTAATAATAAATTATTTCTTATAACCATTGGTATATCAGGATAGACAACGGATTTGGATTCCGGGTGGTCTGAATTCAACTCTGCCATTTGTCAGCTGTGAGACACTGGGCAAATCCCCAACTCCCCTGTGTCATTTCCTCATGAAGAGATAGAGATGTTACTTACCTAAGCCACTCCAAGGACCCAGTGAAATGATGCTTTAGGAACACTGGATCTTTCTGCAGTGCCCGGTTTTGTGGTCAGCCCGGAGCCTGCCTGCCCACCTGCAAATCCACCAAATACATCAGAGTTCTGAGCACATTTTCATTTCTACCCTTGTATGACTTTGACTTCTCCTATGGACTGAACCCATGACAACCCTGGGCCATGACGTAGGGACAGAGCTTTGTTCTTGAGAAGGCGTCTGGACTGAATAACTTCTGAACTCCAATATAACCGATGTTATTCATCCGCCCAACCTCACTCGCTGTCGCCTGACTTGATTGATAGTGGAGCCATTTGAGGAAGGCTGCAGGGCTTACAGCTGTGTTCAGGCCAGGGAAAGAAAGCAGTTTTTAGCACGGTCCTCTTTCCCTTCCTTCCCCTTCCCCTCCTTTCGCTTCCCTTCCGTTCTGGCCTTTACCAGGCGGTACCTGTCTCCTCGTAGCATCTCTGGATGAAATGCACAGACAAGTCTCCTTGGAGAGTGCCAGCTCACAAAAACAGTCCACGGGCAAGGCTGCTGATCTTCGTGGCTGAGCTCCATGCTTTCTTTCAAGCTGTCCTTTCCCCCTCCCCACTCCACCGTCACCATAGCAACCCAGTGGTGTAAAAAAGTAAAAGAGCTAAGGCATCTAAATATAGTCCAGGTTTCAGCACTTCCAGCATGGTGCCTAAAGCCTGTGAGGTAAAGGCATCCAAATGGCAACTGCCCCAGAAGAGAGGAGAGTGGAGGGGAGCGGAGGTCAAGGGGCAAAAGAAGGGAAGGGGCAACCGTTTGCTGAGCCCGCTGCCTGTGTTTTCTCTTTTAACTCCCACAGCCACCCAGTGTGGAAGTTATCTTCCCATAACTGCTGAGGAGACGGATGCTCAAAGTGGATAGGCATGTGGCCAGGGTCACACAGCTGTCAGCAATAGAGAATGAGAACTGTTTCCATTCTCCAGACTTTTCTCCCTCCCCGTACACTGCTAGACAGGTGCTGCAGGTGGGGGATTTTGCGGGAGGTGCTAGGCTTTCGAAATAGATCCCGTAAGAACTTGAGTCTCGGGTGCAACTACATTATCGGATGATGCCAAACGAACTATGATTTTTATTAAACTGCTACCAGGGACCTCAGGAACCAAGAGTGAGGCAAAGGTAAGGCAGTAGTTTCTCTGGAATCTGACGACAGGATTTGCACTCTGACCTATGCAAACAGCACCCTGAAAGCCCTGCCCGAGAGATGGCTCACCATGGTTCCTCCTATCACTCATGTCTCCCTTTGTTCACCCGGCAAATGCTTTTGTTAAGCATCTGACATATATGCTCTCACCTCAGGAGGTAGAGATAATTAATTAAAGCAAGCACAGCGCTTGTCCTCATAGACTTTAGGACAGCAAAGACGACAGGAAAGGTGACAATTGCATAACGGATCAATTCTGTATAGTTGTAATGTATAGTATAAGTACATATGAGAGGAATGTCATTTACCGATGGCATCAGTGAGAGGGAAATACAGAAGCTCCTACAAGTGAAAGACACCTACCAGGTGATGTGCACTTTCAAGGTAAGCAGAGACTTTTAGGAGCTTAGTCTCGGCCATGCGTTCATACGGACAGAGCATGCTCCAGTCCATTACCGACCCTGTAGCTTCACAAGATCTTAAAGCCACATAAATGAGACTTTACAAAACCAGAAAATAGGCTCACATGATCTCTGGCAGGAAAAAAAAATGCACCCCTCATCCCTTGGTATCATTACTGTAAAACCGAGTCGGTGTGTGAGGGTGCTTGTGTCCCCCCCCCCAAAAAAAAAGAAGAGGTGAGCAAGCTGTAATGATGACTGCTTCAGGTGAGCAAGAGTGGCCCTGAGAATTTCCCCGTGCCTGCACCCTTCGATAGGAATGGGAGGGGAGAGAGCTGGCATAGGAAATGTGAATCTCTGTGGATCTGGAGCTTTCCAAACTGCCTGGAAGGCAGCAAATGTGGGGGATACCCCATGAATGGGTTTGAATTAGATAATATCATGTGTGTGGAGCTCTTGAGTGCTTCAGAGAAAATGCTGTCTAAATACACAGTGCTCGCATCAAAGATAATGATACGGTGCTCTATTTATAGCGCTCTGCTACCTACCTGCCAGCTATTTCCCAGGGCTGGGGGAAAGATGAATGGGCAGGATGGAGGGAGAGGGCTTTGAAATCGTGATTAAGAGCCCTCCGGGCAGATGCAGAGTTTAAAATGCATTATATTATTGTCACCATCGTTGTGTTTTCTTTTATCACCCCAGAATGTCACCTCCTTCTGTTTCAGGTGACTGAGTCTGTCTGACTGTCCCATGACCATAATTGCATCCAGGAAGGCAGCAGCCCCCAGAAGCGTCATATACACAAACGCGTCTTTTTTCCTGAACTGCCGCCTGTCAGTTGGATCCGGCTTCTCTGTAAATCCAGGCTTTCCCAAACTCATTTTATTTCTTCCACTAGGAAATGAACATGCAAATGCCCTGTGTAAAGGGAGTGTTGATTGCAAGCCTTCTGAACACAGTGGACAAATTTGAGCTGTTGGAATGAGAAGAAGGGACCACTGGGCTCTAAGAGGGGACAAACAGACTCTTACAGCGCAACACCTCAACCCACTCAGGGAAGAGCTCGGGAGAATTCACTGAAGTTGGGACAGGGTGGCAAAGGGACTTGAGAACTTGGAAATAGTATCAACAATTCAGATTCTGGTTGTGAGTGGGTGTCCACAAGGCCTGATCACTCTTGGAGAACTTCTCCCTATCCAAGCCAAGAGCCCCAGGAATATAAATTGATCTCTTTGGCTTCCTCCTATCAGGGAGGTAAAACAGGAGCCTGTCAATCTGTAATGGGATGTGGATATGCAGATGAGCCGCTTCTGTAGTCAGAAAAGAAAGAGGGCCGAGTTGTATAATAGGGAAGGTTACCCAGTAACATGGGGGCAACAGGTGAAGGGAAAGGTCACTGAATCAGACTGAATCAGGGAAGACTAAGATACAGGAGTTTGACAACGAGACACATCCCTTTATCTGTGATTCTTTGTCCACCCACCCATGTAGTTGAGAAAGTGCCCTACCTGGCCCCAAACCAGCACTATTGAACTGATAGGTAGATAACCCTCATGGGAGTGCATCCTGGGAACCGGAGAAAGAACTGCATCAGTTATAACTTAAACAGAAGATCATCAAATTAACATTTCTGACTACTTATTCTTTGCCAGTCCCTTGCTAGAAACTTTCCTCGGGTTGCCTCCTTTGGTCCTCTCAATGACCCTGTGAAGTAAGTCTTACAACTATGTCCTTCTTCAGATGAGGAAACTGAGGCTCAGAGTGTTTCACAAATTAGTCAAAAGGCTAAAACGTTTAAGTCCTATAAACAGCTAGCTCTGATCCTAAGGCTGGAGCTCTTTGCCACTGAGTGAGGGGAGAATCTTTATCTCCATGACATGAGTCACAAGAACGAGCAGTGGGGACAAGCTGAGATGTAGAACTGTCGTCAATACTGAGTAACTGAAGTGGCCAGCCGAGTGAGGACTGTAGACAAGATGACTCGTTCTGTGCATGTTTTATGGGGTCTAGACGGTTAGGAAAGAGCTGAGGGAAGCAATAAAACCATCTCTTCATAGCAGTGGCTTCATGACCATGCTTCTCAATGGAGTAGGGTGTGCAAAACTGAAATGAGAGAGACAGCCAAGGGCTCTTCTGCACCCCACCCAGCAATCTTAAGCTAAGCACTAAGCCTGGGCTCTGTGCTGTAACGCCCTGGGCTTAGCTTCTGACTCGACCACTATGGCTATTCCCAAACCATCCATCCCACACATATAAACTGCCCATGGACCAGAGTGTGTGCTAGGTTCTGGCAAATGGGACAGGCAGTGTTTCTGCTTTTAATGGCGTTTGAATTCTAGTGAGGGAACCAGGTAAGCAGGCGGATAGAATGCAGGTGAGACCGGCTGGCATGGAAAGGTGTTGTAAGAGAAGATGGGTAGGTGAGGCAAAGGGAGCAGAGGGAGACCAGCAGGCTGTGCTCTGCAAAACAAGCCAGGTGAGCTGTGCGGGCTCATTCAGCATTCAAGCACTTCCCGGGCATGTGTCCACAAATGCATATCCTCAGGGCCTGTACAACCCTGCTGCAACTTGAACTCTGAGACTGAAGCCCAGCATGCTGTGCTTCCTCAAACCTTCCGGAGTTCTGTGTCTCAGTTTCTCAGCAAGATTGTCCAGTTTCAATTGTATGCTTTACTTTTAAGGTTTATTTTTATTTTCCCTTGGATTAGTTTTTATTTGTGGTGTATAGGTGTGTGTGTGTGTGTGTGTGTGTGTGTGTGTGTGTGTGTGAGAGAGAGAGAGAGAGAGAGAGAGAGAGAGAGAGAGAGAGAGAATATGTCAGTCTACAGATGCCCTCAGAGGCCAAAGCAGGCATAAAATCTCTTAAACTGGAGTTACAGACGGTTGTGTGCCACCCGACATGGATGCTGAGACCAGAACATGACGTCGTCAAGAGCAGAGACACCCCTAACAGCTGCCATCTCTCCACCCCGTTCAGTTTCAGTTGTATTCCAAGTGTGGCGGGGTCTGGTTCACAGAACCTGAGTAAAAAGTGGCACATTGGGACTCTCCTCTTTTAAATTTTGAATCATCTATTCTTCTCTCATTATTCTTTTTTATGAACACCGCCATCACTTTGAGCGCTCTGGTACCACAGTCCTTCTCGTATGTATCAAACTCTTTCCGAACAATGAGTTCTGGGTGGCAGCATAGGACTTATTTTTGGGCCTATCTTTAAATCCTTGGTCAGCAGTTCAACAACTCACAAATACTAAAGATTTTCTCTTAAAAGTTACAGAAAGACTCTGGCTGGTAAGAGAGGAGACTGAGTCAGGACATGAGGAACGGGAGCAAAAAGTGAGTTAGGTGGGGCTACGTGATGGAGGTGGGCCTTGTATCTTCTCTGTTGCTCTCATTGGTTAACTAATAAAGAAAACTGCTTGGCCCTAATAGGACAAAAATTAGGTAGGCGGAGTAGACAGAACAGAATTCTGGGAGAAAGAAGCCGAGTCAGGCAGTCGCCATGATTCTCCCACCCGACGCAGCCACAGGTTAAGATCTTCCCTGGTAAGCCACCTCGTGGGCTACACAGAGTATTAGAAATGGGTTAGATCAATATGTAAGAGCTAGCCAATAAGAGGCTGGAACTAATGGGCCAGGCAGTGTTTAAAAGAATACAGTTTCCGTGTAATTATTTCGGGTAGAGCTAGCCGGGTGGCGGGAAGCGGGCCCGCCGCTCGCACAACAGCTACTGTGAGAGTCCAGGTCTGAGGTGACAGTGACTTGAGGGGATGGTGTCACCAACAGGAGGTCCCAGCAGATGGGGCCATGCTGAGGAATGGGAAGTGTGCAGTTCCCACAGCCTGACTGCACAGGATGGCAGGAGCTAGAGCCATAGAGAACTAGCTGCCATCTGTCTAGGCACAATTCAAGGACCATATCCTCGCCATCTTCTGTATCTATCCCACCCTCTGGCTTGCTCTTCTACTGCGTAAGAACAGGGAGCACGCTG